GACTTTCCTATTGATGAGGAAAGCTAAGATATAGGGTGCAATCCAACTGCTTAGTGTCAAGGTCAGAGATAGGTAGCCCTTACCCTAGGTCCCTGTGCACCAGAAATTATAAAACAGGAAATAAAAAACAGGATAGTAGAAAGTGTGGCCGGGGATTTAGCCCAGTGACACTGCATCTACCTCACAAGCTCAAGATCCTGATTCAATCACCACTACGGGGTAGGGGTGGGAAGGTTGCGCAAATGGTCAGTAGTTCTCAACTTTCTGGTGCATCAGAATTGCCTGTGGAGCTTACTAGAATGTGTGGTTCTGGACCTTGTCCCCAGTATTTCTATTTCTGTGGTTCTCGATTAAAACCTGAGAATTTATGTTCCTCACAAGCTCCTGGATGATGCCAGTGATGCTCGTCTATGGACCAACACTTTGAGAAACAGTAAATTCCAGAGACAGATGCTAATGCCTGCAGTGATATTTTACAAATACCTGGAATATGTGGTTGGGTAAACTGACTTTTTTAAAGGTCGGGGACAGAATAGACAAATATAGCATTTTGGTCTTTTTTTCTTTTTAACTGGCTTTTTAAAGTCAAATATGTAGTTCAGAATTTATTAAGGTAAAAACTTTTATATTAAGATGCAAAATAAGACCATATCCTTGCCCTATAAATATACATAGAAATTATTCTGTATTGATGAAGGGTGATTTATTTCTTGTTTTGTAGTTTAACAGCTAGTGCATGCTCTGGGTAAGCATGTATGCTCTGAAAGTAGATTGCTTCAATCGCTTCTCGGCCTTTTGGCTAAGATCAAGTGAAAGTAGATTGCTTCAAGTCAGATCTTGATTTCACCACTGGCTTTTTTGCCTTTAGCTCATGGATTTCTTAGTCTCAGAATTTCCTTTGTAAAATGAGACTTTAACAATTGTAATAGTTTTGTTTTTGAGATTAAACGAAGCAGTGAGTTTAAACCACTGGCTGGAATGCTTGATACATAATAATTACTCCGTAATTGTTAGCTATTATTAGCACACCAAAGGTAGTGCTTTTGTTCAGGAATGTGACTTTGTATATAATACTTTGTTGTTATCTCCGGTTTAACCTGATAGGCTGTTCTCTGTAACTATAATTCATTCTAACTCTGTCTAAGAATAGCCGTGAGTTGGCATGAAGTTATAAATTACATGTAAACAAAGTGCTTCAGAAGTTAACGGGTGTTGCAGATAGCCAAGAATCTTAAATGGCCTCTACCAAGTTCGTACTAAGAAAGAATACCTCCTGTTTCACAGTGCTAAAGAGCATCAGCTGTGCGGCGAGGTTGCCTCGGTTCGGTCTCTGACTCTGCCCTAAGTAGCTCTGTGACCTCCAGCAAGATATTTCACCTCTCCTCCCCAGAATCTTCATATCTCAAATGGGGTTATTTCAGACAGTTGTGATAAGTATACATGACTATGCATGTGCGCACACACATGCACACACACACACATCAGTTGTGCAAAGTGATCAGACTTTACAAATTAAATGAACAAAATCCTTAGGACATGTGCCTGGCACAGAACACCTAGAGTTTTCTATTTTTCATATTTACTTTATGTAGATATATTTTGTCAGAATTTTATTTTTAAGGAAAACTAAGGCTGAAAAAATATTTCTTCCCACTGTAGTTCAATATTGGGCAATGCAGATCTGGGATAAATTTACAGAATTGGAAAGAAGTATTATCTTAAATTATGTAAGAAGGCAAATCTCTCTCTCCATTCTTTCCACAGCCTTCTTAAAATATAATTGGCATTTCAAATGTAATGTTTCAGAGTTTGTATCTTTAAGACAATCTAACCTTTAATGATACTCTTAAATAAGTAGCTCCCTTTCACACTTACAAAATCTATCAAAATGTGGATGTCATTGATTTTATTATTGCCAAGTTCTGTGGTCTTTTTTCCGTCTGTGGTCTCCTCAGTCATGCTTCGGAGTTTGGCATTATTGACCTTTTTCTCCATGGTCCTGAAATTGTCCCTTCTCTGGGCAATCTTAGATGAGACTTCTCTCCGGCCATTTCTCCAGCCAGTATTTCTGACTTCACCCCTCATTCCTTTTGTCATAAGCTGTGCCCCCGATGTGCCCACCAACACCAAACCCATCCCTACCTTGTTAAGACACTGCCTCCCTCTGAGGGCTCAGTGGTTTCCGAGGCTTCCTCTTCCCTCTCTAAGCCCTAGGCCTCACATCAGTTCTCTCAGCGCACATCTGGCCTCAGATTCCCAGACCTGCTAACATTTTTACTTGAACTGTTCACTTGAACTATCACAGCAAAACTGGACTTGTGTTTCTTTTAGAAATTTCCTCCTTGAAGTTGCCTTGAATATCAGAAATACCGCACAGGGTATAGTCCCTGAATTTAATATTCTGCTCTCTCTGACCCATTCCTTAGCGTTTTTTGCCACTTCAATGACAATTGCCTTGCTTGGTCACAACCTTTTACCCTAGCAACTACTTCTTAGGAGATAGTAGACACTGACCCCTCTGATAGCATTCTCCCTGTGGTTCATCTTTAGCAGAACCTACAGGTTAATCTCCCTTTCAGCAGGCTGCTTATTTATTCTAGAACTTACCTGTTTCCTCTCACATCAAGTACAGACACAGCTGCCTGGCCTCCAAGTATTTCCCTAGTTTGCCTATAAAGCTTGTAGCACCCACTGTCTCCCTTGGCCCAGGTAGACTGTGCTTTGGACAGGCCTCAGACCGTGATCCCATGCACACACTTTACCTCACCACCCTCTAGTTTCCCTGCCTTCTTTTGTGTCATATTTATACTTCTGCATTATGCACCAGTTTTGTTTTCCAGGTGGAAAACAGATAGGAACCAGATAGGAACAATTCTTAAAATATTCTTAAATTATATAAGAATATGGTATAGCATCTGGAACTGGAAACACACACACACACACACACACACACACACACACACACACACAGAATATTACTGCTAAAAAAAGACTAAAGAAAAAATGTGCCCCCAATCCCCTTATTTTACAAACGAGGCTATGAACTCCTGAGATGGATATTTTTAAATTTAATGGCTATATATTTAGATTTATGATTTCTTCTATTTGTGGCAAATGGTATCTAGTTGCCACTAACATTTTAGAAAATTTACACTTCCATAGGAACACACACACGGAAACTCTAAGAGAGGCTGCAAATTTATGTTCATCTTCCCTGTCTTATTTTGGAAGCTTCAAAAGTCACCATCAAAATCCCTATCTTAAAGTGCTTTCTATAAACCAATTTAGCCTCCCTTACTAGGCTTACTGAATTATAGGCCTCACAGTAAACTTTATGTAGAAAACAAATGGAATGCAGTTGGAAGTCTGTTTATGGTGGCTGCTAAAAAGCCCAAATCCAGCCGGGCGTGGTAGCACACTCCTGTAATCCCAGCACTTGGGAGGCTGAGGCAGGAGGATCGCTGTGAGTTCAAGACCAGCCTGGGCTACACAGTGAGTTCCAGGTCAGTCTCAACTACATAGTGAGACCCTGCCTCAAAAAACAAAACAAAACGAAAAAATCCAAAACGCAAAGAAGTCTTAAGTAATAGCAGATATGGAAGAGGGATCAATCACTGCGCAATGCAATTCTGATTTCCACTCTCAGAGTTAGATCACTGTCCATGGGTTAAAAGCACAGGTTCCACATACTTCATACTTCAGAACCAGCTGAAAGTTTAGGGGACCCCTGAGGCCACCTGAAGTCTTGACCTATTGGCTACAAAATCAAGGTTCCCAACAGCCCTTTAGGTTTGATAATTTTCCAGAATTATTCACAGGCCTGAGGAAAGCATGATTATTACCATTAAAGTTTTATTAAAAACAAACAAATTAGAATCAGCAAAATAAAGAAATAGGGTGAGAGCCAAGAGGGTTCCGTGTATCTGTGTCATCGGGATCTGGGTCCTCATTTTGCATCACCCTTCGGCTCTCGAGTGTCAGTGCTGTGCATGTCACAAATCCAAAGCTTTTTCAGGCCTTGGTGTCCACAGATGTTTTTGTTTTATTTTATTTTGTTTTAATTTGGGTTTCATTGCATAGACATGATTGATTACATTATTGATGGTACAATTGGTGTCTCTACCTCTGCCTACATTTTTGGAGTTTGGCAGATCATGCTGATTTCCCAAGACTGAAAGCCCTGTATTTTTAACCACTTGTTGGTCTTTCTGGTCAGCCCTCATTCTGGTACTATGTAGGGACCCTCTGTAAACTGTCCTATTAACATGAATGCAGATGTGATTTTAGGGGTTAACGAAGAAAAACAAAGATACTTCCACCATTTGGGAAATTCTATGGATTTTGATCTTCTTCACAGGAACCTGGTACAAAACCAGATAAATATCTTACTATACATCAAACAGAAAATACAATAGGAAATGAATTTAAATCACAGAAGCCACAGAAGAAATATTATGATTATTATCAAGGCAGAAAAACTCACTGGAAAAAATGTAATTTGAGTATAAAATAAATGACCTTCAAACACTCTTAGAGTCTCTACATTTGTTTTTCACTCATTCATTTATTCAGCAATATTATATATGTCTGTAGGTCCTATGCTAGTCAATGGCAATATATTGTTACACAGTCAGTGTAAAAAAATATTTATTTGTATTATACAGAAAAGGAGGAAGATGAACTATTGAAACTATCTGCTGATTTTTATTCCAATCTAAATGAACCCGAGGTGCATAGGATAATTGTTAATTATTGCGTGTCAAAAGTAAGATAGCCCACAAACTGCGAAATAATAGGCATCAAAATTGGTGAAGAATTTAGGGAGATGGGAGCAGTAGAAATGTATATTGTTTACTTAAACTGAAGGCTACTATTTAATCTTACATTTGTAAACAAAATTAAGAACTGCTTTAAAATGTGATATATTATAAATTGTTCTTTTTTTGGTGTCCCATAAGTGGAGCAACATACTAATTTCTACAAGTTGTGATTACTAACAGAGAGCAATCACCTCACAGACTTGTACCGGAAAGAGGAAACCATCCAGGTGACGGGAAACGGACACCTGCAGAGTCCCCGCTTCCCTAACAGTTACCCCAGGAATCTGCTTCTGACATGGTGGCTCCATTCCCAAGAAAAAACAAGGATACAGCTAGCATTTGACCATCAGTTTGGATTAGAAGAAGCAGAGAATGATATCTGTAGGTAAGTGAGGAAAAAGATCCCTTTGAGGGTATATTGTAAAGTGAAAAAAAAAAAAGAGAGAGAGAAAAAAAAAAAAAGAGAGAGAGAAAAAAAAAAAAAGAGAGAGAGAAAAAAAAAAAAAGAGAGAGAGAAAAAAAAAAAAAGAGAGAGAGAAAAAAAAAAAAAGAGAGAGAGAAAAAAAAAAAAAGAGAGAGAGAAAAAAAAAAAAAGAGAGAGAGAGAAGAAAAGAAAAGATGTATTAGTAACATCACAGTAATCGTTCCTTTTGAGGCCTGTGGGCCTACACAAGAAGTGTGCCTTCTTCTGCAAAAAGCCTGTGTCAGCCCTAGCAAACAAAGTAACGTGGCCTGCTTCTGTGGAGGGCTTGATGGCATGGCATGGCTCACAGAAACATACTTTGGCAGCTGGCATGATTGCCTGTCTCCAAAGAGGGATGGAATCTAGAGAGAGTCCCATGACTTCTCCAGGCACAGAACAGCCTTTGTGAGCAGCTAGATGCATCCAATACCCAGGTCACCTGGGCTGCAGTTTGTGACCCTAGTCAAAGCCTGCCGTGATCTTAGAAGGGATAAAACTCTGCTCAGCTCTAGGGGCTCACCTAGGCCATTATAACCAGGACTTTTCTGGCACTAGGAGAATATGGTGGCTGAGGACTGCATTAGAGTTTTACTCTAAATTCATAGTTTTAGGGGCTCAGACATGTGTGGGAAGAAAAAGGAGGCAAGCCTCTGATTTGTACGCTTCTCAGATGTCTATTTCCCAGCTTTTGACCAGGGGTAGAAGATGAAAGCTGTGGCCGATAATCTTCTCCCTTCTTAGCATATTTATCAGAGAAAGTCCAGACTGTTGTTCTCTGAATTGTCTACGCACAGCATCTTACTTGCTTAATTATCATGTATAAGACCTTTGGAGGATTTTTTCCCACTTTTTTATACTTTACTGCAAGCACTTGTTCTGCATTGCCAATGAACTACTGAACTGCTAAATCCTTTCAGCAGGTTTATTTCCCTTTGAATAATAAGAGAGGCCTCAAATTCCTTCGTCCTTTGTTGCATGTTTATTATCCTGACAGCTTTTATTATGTTGCTTTTTTCCCTGAGAATAACAACAGTGACTATTACTTTCTAAGACCATAGAGGATAATGTATGCTAGAAAGCAGAACAAATACACATATGGAGAGCCAGTTAATATTTACGAAGATAATAAACTAATGCTGATCTTGTGTCTTTCCAACCTTGAAAGGGAGAACTAATTTTCTGTGCTGGCAAAAAAAAAAAATAATAATTGAAAAAAAACTATTAAAGATTGTTAAAGACGATGATATAGAAAGTGCCATGATCTGTTTCTACTCACAAAACACTTTTGACATCACATATGTGGGCCTTTTCTTTCTCCCACACCAGATAATACTCCAGCAGCAGTTGGTGTCCTATAAATCAGTTCAGTTGTAACACTATCTACTTCAAGTTAGCGTGTGATCCCACAAGTTAGGGATGCCATCCCACCAGATGCCCCACCTTTAATATCAGTAGCTGGTCACAACCCCTCCATATTTCTGACCAAGCAGTCCTAAATCAGGTAGTTCAGCACCCGCTCCTTGGCTTCACAAAACTCAAAGAAGTGCTTTACTTATTCTTACCTGTTCATTATAGAAGATGTAACTCAGAAACAGCCAAGTAGAAGAGGTAAATGAGGTGAGGTGCATGAGAAGGACACCTTCCCTGTGTATGATCTTCCAAGGGCTTTGTTGATGACTTCACCAACACAGAAGCTCTCTGAACCCCACATGTAGAGATGTTTGTGGAAGTCATCATGAAGGCACAGTAGATTAAATCATTGACCATTGGTGCTTAGGTGCAATCTCTAGGCCTCTTCTCTGGGCAAAGTTCTCTGGGCTAAATGTTCTAACCCTCTAATCCTGCCTCAGCCTTCCTGTGATTGCCTCATTTTGAAGCCACTTAGGGGCCTACAAGATTCCACCCCATTAGAATAACTCAGGTTTGGTTAAAAGGGGCTTATTATGAATAACGAAGATACTTCTCTCACCCTATCACTCAGGTATTTCAAGAGACTTTAAGTAGGAACATAGGAATAGAGATCACATTTATATACAATTATATATATATATATAATATATGCTACTATATCACAGAAGGGAAACCATTAATGAGCTAAAGTTTTGATCCTGAGAGTGAGTCTTTTCAACATCTTGACCTAGAAAATGGGTGACTGAGAGTTAAACTGATATCCTTTCTGAATCCTTCATCAAATCCTCAGAATTTATGGAATGAGGTAGAAGAGAGAACAAAACAGAAGAAGGGAAAGAATTAGATTAGAGACTTGCTCCAGAATCCTTCCTAACAAAATCAGTGGTGCATTCTTGACTTTAGACTCAGTTATAATTAAACTGATGTATTTTTTTCAAAAGAAAACTTACCTATTGTGTTATTAACAAAATTTCAATTATGTTTGTGCTTTGTGCAATAAATATGATTTATACATATTACGTAGAAAATGAAAAGCAATTGATTTCCTACCATCTGTTCCAAAGTCTTCTTGATGTTTACACTGTAATATTTTATGGTTTGAATAATGATTCTTTGTTAATATTTTTCACCTTCCAAGCACCATATAAACATTAAGTAATTAATCTACACAGCACCCAAGAGGTATTCAGCTGGTAAAATTATATAGGTCGTCTTGTTTTCCTCTTAAGGAAACTGAGGCAAAGGACAGAAAGGCTCATAAATTACTGTCAAAGAAATTTAGTCACAATATCATTGTTTTTCACCCATTCCTTAGATTAACCCTTTCCAAACCAATAAGGGCTAGAAGTACTTGGGAAAAACTAGTAAATTCATGTTTGTTTTTATCTTTATATTCAGACCTACTGGTTTTTAGGTTGGTTCCTTGTGGTACTTGTAACAGGACAAATATAAGATGAATCTGAGACTTCTGCCACTGCCTATCCTTTGCAGATGAGTTCAACATCTAAAGTCACTCAGGGAAGGGTAGAGATAAGGAGTGAGACTCTGTAACTAGAGCTGAAGGACAGACAGTTCAGCCAATTAAGTAAGATGTTCCAAGGTTGCAAGGGGTAAAACATAGATTAAACGATCACAAGGCGATGTAAACTGTGGTGCTGGAGACGTCTTGCTGTGTGAGGGGATGATGAGATGGTGACGGGGAACCTGGAGATTAAAAGGTCACACAGAATAATGAAACAGGCCTTCATGTTTCTCACAGTCCTGGGATCCCATTTGTCTGATCAATGCTCAAAGTGAGCCTGTTTGGAGTACCCTGCTTTGGCTAGCTGAGATTTTCCTAGTATTGGTTAGCAAAAATTGCTCCCCAAGATTATATACTTTCATTTATAGCAAATGTCACATTTTATGATGAGATCCTCCAAAAACAAGCTTCAAAAAAAAAATACAAATCATATCCATGTCCATTTATTTTCTGTAATGAGTCTGCTGATTCTATAAGTTATGGAGATATTCATTCTGTCCTCAAGAAAGCACAACTGTGATGAATTAATTCAAAGTAGATTTAAAAAAAACTTTATAAAATTAGTATTTGGGCAAATAACTTTAGCTACATATAAAATATTCCAAGAGATTGCAGTCATTAGTTTTTTTCAAGAAGATTTTCTAAGCTAGTTGCTCAGAAAGTGGCATATTTTAATTATTGATTGATTTGGGAATAGTCATAATTGAATATATATATTTTTTTCTTATAATTAATTATTAAAGTTTGAGTTGGGAAAGCCTAATCCCCAAATTAGCTCTCATTTCCATCAATAGGTGATGAGAAATCACATTAGTTTTAATTTTGAAATTGTAAACTTAAAAATGTTTTAATTAAAACAGTTTATGTCAAATTGCTTCTAGGTATGATTTTGTGGAAGTTGAAGATGTATCTGAAACAAGCGCCATTATTAGAGGAAGATGGTGTGGACACAAGGAAGTTCCTCCCAGGATAACATCAAGAACAAACCAAATCAAAATAACATTCAAGTCTGATGACTACTTTGTGGCTAAACCTGGCTTCAAGATATATTATTCTTTGCTGGTAAGTAGCTAAACCACCTTATGATTAAAAACAGACACTGTTTTTTTTAAAATAAAGAGGTCATTTTTATCATAAAATATAGCAGTGTGAGGGTGAATGTACTTTAGTAATTTATGTGACAAATATTGTTCTTACCCCTTGGCCATAATGTTAAAGCTTTTAATCATAAGGAATGCCACTTGCATCTACCAAATCAATCTTTAGGCCATGCATTCAGAAAGAAAGAACAGTTAATAGAAAAAGAGAAGTAGTTTTTAGTAAAGCAGATATGAAATCACCTTAGATTTAATTGAAGCAAGGTAAATATATAGCAAGATAGAAGGTATGAAGAGATTTTAAGAAAAGCTAAAAAATTTTTTTTCTTTTTTTGGTTTGAAAAGTTGTCCATGAATCTCATCACAGGAAAAAAAAAAGTCCTGATGATTTCTGTTTAAATGATGACCCAGATTTGGGCAGGTCTGTTATAATTACAGAGCTTCAGGATTGGCAAGCACCTTCCAGATCATTGGATTCACTCAGAATCAAGAGTATGAATCTTCTTTGCTACACTCATGGCTATTTGTAGTCTCACCTCTACTTAAACAGCTCAGCAACTATTTCCAGCTTTAAATGATTCTCATTGTTAGAAAATGTTCAATCTCATATTGAGCCAAAATCTATAGTACAGTTAATTTGAGCTGTTGCATCATACTCAATTAGGTATAGTGGACTCTTAGATTACAAACTCAACTCATTCCAGAGGGCTGGTTGTAATTCAATTTGCATGTAAGTCAAGACTATTTTTCCCATACGAAATAACAGAAATAGCCATAATGCATTCCGAACCTCCCAAAGCACCCCTTAACCAACCTTTTTTTAATGAAAAAGAGTTGTATTATCTGTGTAATTTACCAGAAACATCAATAATTTTCCTAGTGTATTCACCAAAAAGTTATGAAATGTGCCTCGTCTACCAGAAACAACAATTTCTTACTGTACTCACCATTCAAGTTGACATCTTTGGTTTGCAGAAAGGGAGGAGGAAATAGAAGATGGTTATTATTTGGAAGGACGGTCCCCTTGCATAAGAACATCAGGAATCTGGCTCTCTGGTGGCCTTTCTCTCCTTGGGAGACTCTGTAGCTCACTACGACCTGCTTCTGGCTCACTAGGTCTCAACCTTTTCAGAACTAAAAACTGGTCTAAGGTTGTCTGTTTCTGTCTTTCACTCTGTTCTGCAGTGTGACATGACATTATTATTAAGCAAGTGAATGCAACAATTAGCTTTTTCTCTGTTTGGGTGGGTCTTCTCTATAGATGTTTGAAGCTCTGTCCATTTTTTCAAGATTTCCTTGATTTCAGAACAACTTTTCTGCACTGATTGTTGCTACTCCCCCTCCTCTTCAGAAAGCTCCTCAGCTGCCATTCTCTGTTGCTCAGCCAGAAGTTGCTGAAGCCCCTCTGTAGACAGTTCCTCTGAGTGCTCCTGGCCCACTTCCTCAACATCACCACTGTCTACCTCCAAGCCTACGGACTCTGCTATAGTGACAGTGTCATCAACCACTGGGTCAATTGAAGACTCAGGCTCCTCTATGCAGCCTTCAAAGTTTCACTCCTGTGCAATTTTAGACCACGCTTACTTCCAGGTAGATCTCAATGTTCTTAGAGAGACACTGGCCCAGGATTTTTCATTTAACCCCACACAGGAAAGATAGACATTCAGGTCATAATTCAAGACTTTGGTCATAAATTAAAACTAAAATTCCAGTCATAACCCAAGTTGTTTTCTTATGAGGCTGGTTGTAACTCAAGGGTCCACTGTATCTTCTTCACTAATTCATTTAACATTGAGTATGGATGAACACAGCAGTGACAATCTGGGCTTTTATTTTGTAAGAATTACATTTAGAATAGAAAACCCCTTGCTTCATTCATAATCTAATAGGATTTTTTTCAAATTATAAGTGGAACCAGTATTATCACGTTATTTTTTCCATTTGCAATGTTCTGATGTAGAATTCACTTAGTGTTTAATAGTTCATCTTAGTGAAAAAAATCCATCAAACATAATTTACATTATTATGCATTCATGCAATGCTGTTTAGCATTAAAATTGAAGTATGAACATTTGATTTCTATATTTATTTCCCTTTTAATTTGTTCAACAATGCATCTGTTCTGAGTTGGTCATGGACAGAGCAGACTTGGAATGTTACAATTGTGATGGATAAGTTGGTGAAAGTTCTTGTTACCTTAAAACATTAAGCTCCATTAGTACAAATGTGTCTGCCATCTGTGATGCTTTGGTTCTAAATTGAGTGGTTAATAAATCAATTAGAAATACCCTAACTCTAACAGTGTATTGAAGGCAACACAACTTTGATGGAAAGCAATATATACACATATATATAGGCTCGGGAAGAAGGAATATTTTCATTTGAGCCATTTGGGGTCATGGAACAGACTTATCACTCCAGTGCTAAGTAGACTATTCAACAGCCTCTGTAGTTTGGATGCAAACTATTTAACATCACTCCCTTAACTCATTTACTCCGCGTCAGTACATTCACTTGTGCTTTAAAGAAATGGTGGTAGTTGTAATTTTTTTGTATATTTTCCTCTTGGCCTCTTGATCTTCTCCCCTAAAGTGTATTTATTTTTTCCCTTCTAGTAGTCTTTTGACACTACAGAAGGTAATTGGGGCTGCATTGGTGGCTGGATTCCAAGAGGTAAAATGAGCTTGAACTTTAGATATTTAGAGACTCTTGTACTGTGGCTCTTTGACAAAACTCTGCTGCTCGATAGTTGCTGAATAGGTAATTATCACATTTGTCTGGTCCACTCTGTTGGGAAAATCATTGTATTCATATTTATGTTTTACTTGGAGAGACTTTAAAGCAATGTTTATAAACTCCATAGTTTAGGTTCAAAACTGAAAGTGAGCTTGTATAAGTTAGTAGAGAGACAGGAAATTAAAAATGGCAAGCCCTCATCAAGTATATTTAGTGATTTTTAGAAAACTAAACTCTCTAGGGCAGTGGTGGCAAAGATAGGACACACATGCTGCAGTGATCATGCAGAGGCCTCTCTGTCAGCCAAGTCACCCCAGCCAAGGTTTGACAGATTATCAGCATGGGTAGGGACAACAGCAAAGATAACTTTAATTGTGCAAATGCATGCCAAATGCAAATTTTTACTTTTCAATAAAAAGTTGTTTGCATCATTGAAAGCTCTATTATTACTTTTCTTTTAAGACAAAAGATGTTGCTGGGATTTAGCTCAGCAGTTCAGTGGCCTGCCTTGCAAGCGCAAGGACCCGAGTTCAATCACCATCACCGGTACCAAAAGACAAAAGATGTTAATGTACTTATATTTTTGTAGACTTAAACCTCAGTATTCATGTTTAATGCAGTGTTGTCACTTTGCATTAATAAGTGGGTTTTGTGTTACTTTGGGCACCTGCTCTCAGAAAGATTCACCATCACTGCTCTAGGGGTTAGACACAACTGTTATACAACTCCTACTTAGGGAATGGTAGGTGTTAGGGAAATTTGAGCCTTAGGAATAGTTTGTTAGGAATCAAAGTGCCCTTGGGAAATGACAAGAAGCTGGTAAACAGGACTAGATCACCTCTTTCCTCATGTTTCCTTTCCACTTTTGTGCCTCTGATGGACCATCTCTACTCTCCCTACCTCAGCAGCTGTCCAGGTGCTTGGAGACTTCCTTGAGACTGTCTGAGGGGTGCCAGAACCACCAGAGCCCACTGCAGTAGAATCACATCTACATGGTCTATGTGCATACACTTTTAGAAAACCCAACTGTAAATTCTTAGTTCATATTTCACTTCTGTGAACCATGGGAAGATTTACAAGTAACATTAAGATAACTGATAAGGAATGATTCTTACCTTCCAACTTTGATGTGCTTAGAATTTCAGTCTTCTATTGTTTGTTTACAGCACCTACCATAGACTCCTCCAACAGGAAGCAGAGGCACATGAGACAAGAGCTGAACTATAAAGCACACTCTGAATTGAAGACAGATTTCAATAGCTTCCAGTGATGTGATATTAAATACGTTTCTTACCCCTTGCTTTTGCATCTTTAAAATTGGAACTGGTACAAAACTTTAAAATGATAGGAATACTTGGCCCAGCACCTATGATACAGTTAGTGCTCAGTAAGTAAATCGCTGGGAAAATGATTATACCATTATCATCAACATATATATATATAT